TGTGACATGTTTAAGGTTTGGATTTCAAAGAAATAACTTTAGATATTATAATCCTACCATTCTTTAGTTTTTGGTGCTCATTTTTATTTTAATTGCACTAACTACTGTTGCGTTATTCATCTGATTTTTCGACAGATAAATTTTGAAAAAACCTTTTTTTACAATTCTTAATCCTGAGGAATATTTTTCACTTATGTATTAAGAATAATAGCTGTTTTGAAATCTTAATTGAAGTTTATATCACACATTATCTGCATAACTAAATGCGTTTTGCTCTAAGTAAAAAAATGTCCACAAAAGCCCCAGTTATTGGCGTGTATGAAGATAAAGCATATCTCTGAGATGGTTGAATAACTGTAAGATGTGGAGTTAAGCCTAAGAATTGCGTGACCATAAAATTAATTTATTATCTATTTGAAATACTCAGGCTTTTTTCCAGTCGAATTTGTATGGTATAACTGTGAATAAAGCTACTCTTAGTGTGAGCCGGATAAAGGGGAAATAACGAGGAAGATAAGGAGTTTGATACGAGATGAAAATCGTTGGCAGATGAGAGATGCGGATATTCAGTTTCCACTTGATAGATAGATAGATGGGTGTAAAGTAGGTGTAGAATGAGACAAGAGTCATAATGAAGGTGATAATACTAAACTTGGCGCCTTACGAAAGGGATTCCCAACAAACTACAGATATTCATCAACAACTGCCTACTCGGGCTCGTTACTGAAGCTCAGATGGATTGCCAGAAAAAATAAGCAACAAGGAACTCTGGCAACGAACCAACCAAGAACCTATCGCCATACAAATATGCAGAAAGAAGTAGAGATGGATTGGGCATGCATTGAGAAAGGCATTCGGAGACATCACGCGCCAGGCCGGACCCTCGCCTGGATGCTGAATAGGAAACAAGTTGGGTGTTCGAGATGAGGGTGACATGGAGAAGGTGGTGTGAGTAAGAAATAGAAGCTTCTGGTCAGTGGTAGCTAGGCTCAAAAGACTGCAGAGAAGAGAGTGCACTGGAGACGTGCTATTGAAGCCCTATGTTCCACTAGGAACTCAAGTGACAAATAATAACAATATAAACTAATTCTAATGAAATCGACAAAGAGTTGTGAAAGTGCTTAGACCATGTTAAGATAAAAGGGAGAGCGTAATACGTTTGCACTCAGAGATGAGCTTTGAATTGATGAGTTGCCAGTGCTCCTGCTGTGCATTATTGTCAAAGGTGTACTACTTTTGGACTATTCCATTTGACACGATAAATGATACTGAAGGAGGATTCTGGTCAAGCTATACATTCAGTGCTGACCGAATGTTCACGAATCTTACTGTTAACTGATTTACATTCTCCCCTCGACAACCATGAAGGATAGTGCTCTGAGATAGTTTTGGAAAGAGCCCAATTTGTGCGACCTATATAACCAGCGCGACAGAAGCAAGCGAATTTGTAGACACAGAATGAGATGGTCCAAAGCGGCAACCTGTCCTTAACGCACTCCGGAACCAGTTGGTGACTAGAGAAGCTGATCTCTGGCTTCTCAGAAAAGAATGTCTATTTCACTACACTACTTAATTAGAGTTGTCAACTGAGACAAAAGAGCATGAAATTATATAGCGTTTTCTTTAAACACAACAAGTTTCATGGTATAATTTAAACTTTTCACAAAAACTGTAGACTGTTCCCAATTTCAGATAAATTTCAACTGAGTCTGCTTGGATATATAAAGGTTCCAACTTCAATAAGATAAGAGCAGATGAATGAAGAACATTTTTTCAATGAACTCTCATCCAGATATAAAGTTATCCTATGGAGTGTGATATTTTCAAAAACTTGCAGTTAGTCACCTCGAGATGATTTAGTCATACAACGGAATTCGTATTGAAAATATCCCAAAATGAAATAGCACATTTCTTGGGCAATCAAACATTTAAGATTATAGTTCACTGAGTATATGAATCAGAATACACAAATCTATTCTCAAAAGAGATAAACGCTACAGTAAGATAATTTAGAAGATCAACACAGACACCTCACGTAACTTCAGTATAGTATCTTCATAATTTTCCTAGTATGGTACATGGGGATTTTCAACTAGAGGTTATATTCTTTTGAACCTTAATTTTGCGAAATTCTTAAGCAAACACAATTCAAATGGATACAATTTAGTTGCATATTCACTTGAAAAGTTTGTTTCAATAATTTACTGTAGAGTTGGAAGGATTTGAACACAAATTACTGCACTACTACTGTTAGCATAAAAAGAAGAATGTGTCGAGTAGCTTGATAAACACAGATCATCGTTCAGTTCTGAAAAAACTCAGGAAAGATCGAAACTTCGTAATCCTTATTTCTTGGTCCCTATATACGCTGCTTTTCGTAGTGTCTTCTTATTTTCTTGTCAACTACACATCACGAAAAAGCAGGTAGTCGTTGATTTCCTTTTCGGATGTCTGCATCCCAGTAAATGATGCTGTTCCCACTAAGACTCGAACCTCATGCCCATCGCTTCAAACGCCAGATCGTCTGCCATTAGGCCACTGTGGCATGACAGCCACTTCTTACACAATAGGTATTAATTAGTACTACTTATTGACAAACATATAATTCTTCATTTTTTAACTGAATTGAATTGTTCTACCTCTGTTGGCATATGAGCTCCTACGCGGATACCTCGATACTGCCTGGATATTTGTGATGATAATTTACTTGTTTGTGGTTAGCAAAGGAACCCAGGTAAATTATCGTAATAAATATTCAGGTAATATTAAGGCATCCTCATACCAGCCAATATGCCAGCAGAGGTAGAACAATTCAATTCAGTTGAAAACTGAAGAATTATAAGTTTGTTAATAGATAGTAATAACTAATACCTGTTGTGTAAGAAGTGGCCATCATGCCACAGTGGCCTAATGGCTGACGCTCTGGCGTTTGAAGCGATGGGTATGAGCTTCAAGTCTCAGTGGAAACAACATCACTTACTGGGATGCAGACATCCGGAAAGGAAATCAACGACTACCTGCTTTTTCGTGATGTGTAGTTGACAAGAAAATAAGAAGACACTATGAAAAGCAGCATATATAGGAAACCAAGGAATAAGGTACAGTATACATACTCCTTATCAGAAGTGTATGAACAATATAATCAAACGCCTAGTATTTAGAGTGAGATCATTTACTTTGAGGACTGTTAAAAGAAAGAACTACTGAGTATTCATGGCATTCTAGGTGTAGACGAACATCCTGAAAAGTGTATCAAAGTAAGCATCACTTTCATTTTTCCAAAATGGCCCCAGTGGAGAAGAAAATTTTACTTCTTCATCCATAATTCAAATATGAAACTGCAAGTAATATCTTATCATAATGCCTAACTAGAGCAACGAATAAGACGCTTTACTCAGAGTATCTCAGCATACATTTAAATGATCGTCTAATGCTCACTCTGAGACTCAAGGATAGTCATCTTATTCTCAGCTCCTCATCTTGAATATGTGAATTTAACTGTTTTTGTGGAAAATTACCTAGGGCATTTGTTTAAGTCTCCTGATATGAAAATACTTTTCAGCTTGGTTTAGAAAATAACCAAGTCAAAGTGACAAACAGTTTTATCTTAACATTTATGGTAGACGAATAGCATAAAATGTATGCTATTACAGATTTTATATCATAAATCATTTCCAAAAATATTACCACATGCGGCTGACTAACACCTTCTATGTAAAACTGAATTTGTACCAATGAAAGCGATTGAATTTGAACCCAGGATTCAAAAGCAACATGTTCAGGTATTAATCCTTCTTTAGTCTTTCATAAACTAAAAGTTATTCCCGTCATCCAAGGTTAATTGATAGTCTATCTCATGCCACCAGTTTCAGTAGAAATCTTCCTAAAACATTTCTTCAGTTGAGTTCTGCACCTAATTAATATACATCAATAAACTTTCCAATTTATTTGACTAATGATACCTTAGTTTATTGATGTTGCCCTATTATGTCTTACTTGTTGATAATTTTTTTGTACTAATCTTGACAAAGATCTCAAATATTTCTGGGACGAACTTTACTTTATGAACTTATTACCTAAAATTTTTTTGTGGTACCTAAACTTTCATGCCATGTCGGGCGGTCACTATTAGAGTAGAGAACAGCAGTATCTCACCTTTGCAACAACCAATTTATGATGAAAACTACATCACCAAATTAGATAGAAAAGCAATAAAATGCTTGGCGAGCAACGCATCAACTTGTAACATTTAGAGTTTTCTTGTTGAAGCATTCAATAAACTTATTCATTCTGTAATTTCTTCAGCTTGTAATCATCAGTTATCGAACTCATGATGACAGATTCTTAACATTCAACTGCGAAACACAGTACACTGCAGTGCTATATCACTTGTTTGATTGATGAGACTACAAACTCGATGGATAGGCTTTGTTCACTATTGAACAGTACATTAACGATGACTATACGTAAGAAATCTTTATGTTACACCACCTCAAAGGGTTTCTTGGTAAAATATTTATTACGATCATCATGTACTAGTATTTCAAAACATTACATGTAAACAATTCAGCATGTGAGAGTCTAGTACATCAAGTTTAACAAGGCAGCACAAAACTGTTACAGACCTCTCGAAAATGCCAAACATTAACTGTGCGTTCAATAACCATTATTAATACTTAGATCGTTGTTTGTATAATACGTTGATATTGTCTATTCAGATGAGCAGGAGTCAGACAAACAAATGAGTGGTATAAATAAAAGTCTTCTTAAATTGATAATCTTATATTTCAGATGCAATGCTGTTTATAATTTTCCTGGTCTACATTAGGTATCATCTAGGAGTAAAAATTTTAATTACAATGATATATATATATATATATATATATATATATATATATATATATATATATATATATATATATATATGAAAAATATATCTATTTACATGAAATTTATCTAACCATTTATGTATATGCATTGCCTGCATGCATTAATCATTGTTAACAATTGAGGAGCTTTTTAAAAGCTTTTCTAAATTCAACATTAAATATTGTGTAAATGATTGGATTGAGAAAAGAGTTAACATAACCAAGCCATACACATATACTTGTTACAGAATCAGGCATATGACATAATAGAGATTCTTGTAGAGATTGGTATTTGAAACAGAATGCATGTATTACGTTGTTAGTAAAAAACGGCATCCAGCACACAAGAAATACACCTATTCATAAAAGAAAAGAAAGAAAATAATAATAGTGATAATTTATCATTGATGAAACATATACTAAAATCATTTAAACATTATTAAGCACAAAAATTTAGACAAACATTAAACTATTACTTAGGTCTACTATTATTTTTTTAAAAATGTACCTCACTGATGCAATGAAATCTATAAACCTCTTGTTTCACAAGGATTCAATTATTTTCTCGAAAATGATTTAGTTGCCTTTTAGTCCTCGGGTGATATGCTCATCTCAGACAAAGGTATTGCCTACATATTGTTTTCTAAACACCTTGAACTGGAACTAATGAACACTCTGGATGTGTCTTGCACCAGTAAATGTAATCAGCTGCCTCATAGCTTATCAATATTTATTTTGTTGTTGTAATTCGATGTTTATTTCACTTATCTAGGAAGTCGTATCAGTCATTATGGACTGATATATTTCATAGTACCGAATAGATATTAGTCAGTAATGTAGTTTAACCACATCGATATGGAAAGCTTAGAAGTGTTGTACACTCTCTGAGTTAAGCATTATACCAAGATGCTGTAAGAAGTCAAGTCTTATCAGGTCCACTGGAGACTGAAAACTTCAGTATCAATACGTGTCCTCACGTTGCGAATGCATCATTAATCTCCTTTTGTATCATTTTGAAGCGATTCAATTTCTCCGCTAAAGGAATGTATTCAAAAGATTGAGGAATGCTAAGTACAATGGAATCCTATGGCGCACAGTTTTATTGAAGCAGTCACAAGCTTATTTGGTCTGATATTACATTTGTGTTACATATTTTGTTCCTGTCTATCAAAGTATTTCGATATATCACACTTTCCAAAAACTCTGATTCCTGCTGTTCAATTTCGTAACGCTTTCTTATATCTAGTCTAACTGCTTGAAAACCTGAATGGTGTGATTTCCAAACCTTGAGAATTTGAATTAATTGGCTAAGAAGTAATGACATTATTTATCGACTGTATTGACTTGAAAACCTTAGCCATCTTAAATGAAAGGTTTATAGGATGGGATATATTGAAATCTTTTATACAGTAGCAACCAATAAATGTGCCTATTCTGGTCTTATAGGAAGTCGCTGGTGACATTAGTTGCCCAGTGACAACGTCTGTGACTGCTGTACTTGGTGACTCAGGTTCGTATCTTAGCCAGGACATCAGTTCCGTTGAGGTAGCAGGTTTTCTTTCCTAAGAAGTGCCGAAAAGCACCAAACTTAGTTTGCTGGCTTGCCTCCATCCCACTAAAATCATACCACTGTTTTTAGGGATGTTTTACTTTTCTCAAATGTTCTACTTAAACTTATGTGATCCCTCAGAACCATGCTTTTATCTAGATGACACATCTAGTGTGCTGATGACTTAAGCGATAAATAGAATTAAATTCAATTTTCTCCCCAGATGGATCAAATTACCTGAGTACCTGAGGAAGATTGAACAGTTCAGAGATTAGATGACGTGGAAAGCTATCTGATACGGCACTCAAAGTCTAAGGCGTGACAAGATATCACGAGAAACAACTCCTTACTAGTCAGAGTCAATAAGGAATACGACCAGCGGTAGAACCGAACCTAAGTGACGGCCTTTCACGTTCAAGTAGGCACTGACCGATCAGAACCAAGAACATAAAAGGAAATATCGCTTTGTTTACAATTTTTAAACTTGTTTTACACGAGAAATAAAGGTATCTAAGTTTTTGAATAGGTTCATCATTTTAGAAACCATGCCATTTTCTATATTGCCACTCACCCATACGAGATAAAACTATTTGCCTTTAGGGTCTCGTTGGTGGTTTTATTAACTTTCTAAGATGGCTTCACATATTTTTAGTTTTATTTGTGTAAACTCCAGCTGTCGAATCAATTAAGTTCTTCTTGGAAACAATAGATTCTTGGGGGTTTTCCATTTCGGGCATAGGCACATGCAGCTTCTATCCATCTGTGTATGTCAATATACCACAATTGTGGTACCTAACCCCATGCATTTTTCTATAACAGCTGGGATAGATTTTTCTGATCCATCGTATACTCACTAAGAATATCATTTCTTCTTGTTTCCGCCTCAAAAATCAAAAATCTGCTGTTTGTCAAGATAAGTATATGTAACTCAAGACGTGTTGTTTAAATCACCTTCCTAGGTTGCATTTACCTGTCCGAACAACACACTCATCTGTGTCAACCACACTATCTACTATATCAAATTTTACATCCAGCCTGCAACGTAATCCTTATCGTAATTCATCAAAAGGTTATGCAGCGTCAACAACACGACAAATGGATGTAACGGATAACCCTGAAGGTCTTCCTTCATTAATGTTCAGTTCTACAGTTTAGTTATCACTTTCTATAGATGACCTCAAAACATTCATCATCTCTAACAATAGGTATTCCCATATATGTCGGAGGGCTAATCACTTATTTCGAAGTCAATGTTAAATATGCCATCAGTAATTTCAGAAAGTATGCTCATGTCATTCTTTTGAGTGATATTAAATTACTAACAGTCGAAAATTAAGGGACAGGAAACTTCATTATTAGCGGAAAACGACGCATATACCCATAAAGTATCCACTGTTTACATAGTTGGTGATAAATGTTTCAAAGAAAGTATCTAGAACGCTTAAAACGCTGACTATTTACTTGTCAGTAAGATGTATAGTAATTGGAAGTGTTTGAAAATGCCCAAGTGCTTAGATCATAGTATTATGAAATGTGCTTCGAACATTTTTTGAAATTCGCCGTCGAAATGATACATTTCTGTTACGTTATCAATTATTCATTCCAAAACAATTTTCCCTAGCATCTGCCTTTTAAAAATGGGAAGATTTGTCTTTATTCATAATTTTAACTCAGTATTGCATGTTATGATTAGATAATTATTAGAAATCCAAATATCCTAATAAAGAAGCTGTAGGTTACACAACGAAATGTTCAGAAAAATCTTGTTTTTTGGGATCACACTACAATATATTCTTATAATGAGTCGCTATTTAGTCTAGTCTAGTATATATATATATATATATATATATATATATATATATATATATTTATATAGAAAGCAACAATGTGAAAGCAGAATACTCTTTTCAATAAATTCTCTTCATGTTCTACAACTATAAAATGAATCTGTACAGTGTAACATCAAGCCACGTTACGGGTAGTTACATATTCAAAATGCATTGAGATCCAGGGGTTGTAAGGAAATCAATTTATCTTTTTTAAATTAGTCAGTATTAGAATGATATGATGGTGAACAAAAAGATAATGTATAAAATGGAGGGTGTGGCCTTTAGTTAACTGAAGGCCAAGAGAGAAGAAACTCTTAGATACGTTTTTCCTGAGTGCAGACTTCTGGATTGATCAATCTTATTGTGATAGCCTCCACTATGTTGAGCAGGTGTTGGGGAACTACAGGTGGTGTTGTTTTTGGAACATCATGAATGACACTGAAAACTTTATTAGCATTTATATAATGCTCTGTGTTGACTAAATATAGTAGAACTGAACTTTTCACTACTTTCACTTCACTTTTCCCAAATTAAGCTAGTAAATGCTCTCATAACAGAAGAAAGCGCTATTTGAAAGAGAATAAAATCCTGAAAAACCTAAGAGAGATGAATGCATATCTCAGAGGAAAACATTTTATTCCTCAACGACATGAGAACGCTTGCACACTTATCTATGTTAGAAAGAAAAGTGTCTTATTCTTTTCAGCTTTTTCTTACTTTACAAAATAAATAACGTCGAAGAATGAATTTTTTCAAATGACCTTGATTCATAACAAGGCGATAATGGGATAAAGCCTAAATTGATTTGTGTACCGGAAAAATAATGATATTTTCTATGAGTCAATGATTAGGTAAAGATAAATTTGCTTAATTTTTATTTTATATGAGTGAATGTTATTCCTTATTCTGTAGTGTTGAACTAGTGAACATTTTCTAACAACAAGCAAAATATCGGATGAATGATTTAGTCATGTGAAGATAGCAGTCAATCTCAGTCAAATGGATAGGTTCAATTTTGTAAGGTTTACAATAGTACAGAATACTGTTCAAAAGTGAAATGCGTTGAAAAGGAAAACCGAAAATTATTTTTTATGCTTTTTGATACCTAACAGTAAGATATCAAATCTTCAAAGAAGTGTACCCTTTTGAAGACAATGAAATAAATGTCACTGTGTGCTGCATTTAAAGACTAAGTCACTATGATGTTTTTCATGACTGGCCTCACAACTGAATCAGATAAGTCGATCGTTTTATGAAAAGTAGAAGTCTCAACTATTTACGCCATTCCTTAGATGGTTTTGGTATTGAACTATCTTTGCTGTAAATTTTTTAGATGCTTCAACAGTCTTTCCATTTTAATGTGTTCTCCAGTAAATTTCTTTCAAATGATTTATAATCCCAACTTATACTCTACGGCTTTGGTACACCTACTTATGAAATTTATCTTGAAATAGTTATCATAAGGATTGATAGTTTTGATCAACTAAAAAGGATAGAAAATTTCCATAGTTCACTTCCTTGAACTAACTACTGAATTCTTACCCTACTGTTTAAATGGAGGTGATTTCAGTGATGATTTCAGGAAATCACTGATTATAAAATTCACTAAGCTGTACTCAACCCTCTAGACGAGTTTGCATAGATATGCCAAAATCCAACAATTACATTTTCAGGTTTCTATTTATCATGAACTGGCATCATTTGGAGAAACATCGGAAAAACGAAGGCACTAGACAGCTATTTTGTCCATCTGATGTCACTTTATGATGAATATCAAACTACAATTCATCAGTCAGTCTTCACTAATCTCCAAAGTGAACTACATTTTCATTTCAGTTTTTATAACAGCGGAATGCAACGATGTCACTACACTTCACTGCTTAATATTTTTCAGCACAGCTAATAAAAACTAAGTTCGATTGTTAACATAAATGAAATGTCTTTTATCCGCATAACCT